AAGAGCAGTTTACTGTGCAACGTAAGGTCTGGTGCCGTGTGCAGAGTAGAGCCCTGTGTGCTACATCTGGGTTAGATCCAGGTGTAGCGCAGGTCTGATGAAAGACTAGATCCAGGTTGCATCGGCCGACTGTGGCATGGTGTCCAGCCCCCACATCCAAGCTGCCCAGGCCTCCAGCCTAACACTTTCCTTCATCATACCATGTGCCGATGGTTTGGTTTTACAACGCTTGAGTGAGCAAACCTGATTTGAGTTCCGTAACAGAACCACAGTCAACTACATGTGAGTCTAGTGACGTAACCATTATGCCATCTGCTGGTCCCAAAACCTTCTAAATTAAAATCATTTGAGGTGGTACCGTCATAGGATGGGAGAGTGTTGAGCTGTGTTGTGTAAAATCCTTGGTCCTTTGGGACCACTAAAATTAGAGACTTGTCCCTAGGCACAAAATAAAGCCACAAACACAATAAAAGTAGGTATAAAAGAAAATTTAATAGGAAAGAAAGGTGTTAGAAAAGAAGTACACCCAAAAGACTTTTAGGCAGGCAAGTTGCTAGGTAGCAACTGCGTTTGGAACTGGTTTAGGTGTTATTTTTATTACTAGAGGTGATAATAAATATTTAACAGTGGGAGGACTGTCATACTATCTATGTTCTTTGTTTGAATCCCCAGGCTTTCTCCTGCGCTTGCACATCTCTCTTAGAGGTAAGAATTTGAGGAATTTGATAACCCAACTCCACATGCCCAGTGTGAGCCATGATGATAGGAGCATCCTTATTAGGATGAACTGCCCAATTAGTCTATTGCCTCAGTAGCAATCAGGATATTGATCAAAATGTCTGGTTGGATCTTTTTGTATTAATGAGGAATGATAAGAGGGAAATTTACAATCATCCCTATGTCTTCCTCAGGTACCAAGAAAGAAAATGGGATTTGCCTCACCTTCCTGGCACCAGGAACTGGGTGGGAAGAAGGTATTTTCATGGAGGGTTTGGTTGTAACGCTTAATAAGTTGTGATTGATGTGGTAGGTGACCTTCTGCTGTTTTCTTAGGGCTGCCTGCTCATTTCTAGCTATCTGCCTGTCACAGTACCAGCAGATGGCTAATATTTATGTCACTGGACTTCCATGTAGTCAACTGCAGTTCGAGTCCCAGACCCAGTGGCTACACTCACACTGGGTGCATGTGTGTGTAGGCCCAAGATCCTGGAAGGAAAATGGAGGAGATGCTACAATACCTGGGGGGGGGAGGGCCAGCTGTTAGGGGAATGGCTATGTTCGCGGCA